TATGATATTATGTCAAGAATTATGACATTATAGCACAGTTCATAAATTTTTGAATCTCTAAGACATATACATCAAAAGAAGAGCTCAAGAGCAACACGTGGACAATTCATGATAATCCCTCTTAAAGCTCTTACATTCCAAAGGTTTTTTGACAGGTTTTTGAAAAGTTAAAAATCGATTTAAAAGTTATATTTTGAACATGTTTAAATAATTTTTTAAAAATGCTTTGTCTAATTAGAAAAAAGCTGACTAATGAAACTTCATCAAGAAGTTCTTCTATAAAAAATAAAAATAAAAATCCTGAAAAACGAACCCTAAAATGATCAAGAAAAACTCGTTATGGGCTGGACGGTTGAAGATTGAAGAGCAACAAAGGGTCACACATCCATATCTCTTCAAATTATGTCATAGAATCATTATTCTTGAACGTCTCATAATAAGAAAACTTAAAAACAATATCGCAATGATTATGGGAATCAAATCAATTAAAGTTCAAAGCTACTTATTTATCTTAGTTTAAAGAGTGAAATAACTAAATAAGTAGTAATCATGCTCACAACATCTTAAGGATATGAACAATCAATAATTGATACCCCACTCACATGGCACTCAAAGCCTATAAACCACTTTAAATTAGCCTTTTTCTCATTTGCGCAATACAAATTACTGCTGTTTTGGGGGGACCTCTAAGATTGTATCTTAGCATTCGATGAGCTTGATCTGATAATCGAGTTGATCAAACATTTACAATTAAAAGTGATGGACATAATTATAAAACACAACATCGATCTAACACTTTAACAAAGGAATAACTTCTTCGAATAAATCAACTCGCACATCTCAAGACCAGAATGATTATCCATACTCAGTAGGCCTACTACATCCATTACTAAATATCGTTGGATATTGCTAACTCTCAAGTCACTTGTAACTGTGACCTGTAATCTATGTACTTTGCCTGCAAAACAATGACAGTAACATAGCTATGATGGTCAAACCTGCCCAGAATATCAATTCTCACATACTTCCTCAAACGGCAAAATACTCAATGTCCAAGCAGTTACATGCTCATTCTTTGTACGAAGAAGCGTGGACTACATATAACATAATAAGAACAACTTGAAAGGAAGAACTACATAACGAGGCTGTTGGTTGGCTTGGTGCATGGGAGCTAATGGATTGTAGGTTGCAGATTTTTTGTTTTGTTTTTCTATTTTCTTTCTTTTTTAAGATTCAAGTATTGATATTTGTCATCATGATGATGGATCATTATTCATTATGTTTAGATGACATTGAACAATAAGTCCAATAGAATGAATTCCAAGTTCCTGTATTTAATTGGATCTATTATTAATGTCACTATAACATTATATAGGTTGATGAATGATGAACCATTGTGGCAATGACAAATAGCATTATTCATAAGATTCATGTTCTAAGATTCCTACGGACCTACCGCAACCCGCGTCCTTTAAAAACCACCCATCTGAAGTCCTTGAAAATAGGCCTCCTATCTTTCAATCTGAAGAGAAGAGTAATACTATCTTATTCATCTGATCTATCTAGGCCAAAAAGGTCTAAACTGTTAAAGCCAGCAACTTCTCTAATCTCAGAATACCAGTGCAGGCTACTAAACACTTGCCAGTACTATTTTACCCTGAACATTCAAGCAATCAAAAATTCTTGCACCTATCATCAAAAGGACATTGAACTGAACTGAAAATCAATACAAAACTCGAGTGATGAATTAATGGTTCTTGTCCATTGCACAAAAATCCACTCAATGAACAGGTTGCAGAGAAACACCCAATCCCTCAACCCTTCCGTATAATAAACAAAAACAAAAATAAAAATAAGGCCTCAACTTTAAATTAGGGGAGAAATCGAGGAAGACGGAAAACTGCAAAAATGGTGAAATCGTGTAGTATCTTCCGCGTCCACGTCATCACTGCTACCGTTATCAACTCGATAGGAACGCGCCGGAATCGTACATGACTTGGCGTGAGTGGATCCGATACCTGTTGATCCATTTTTAAAGGTCAACAAATCTTTTTATGTTTTACCAAACACGTTTCAGAAGGATTGGCCATTTAACTTTACATTTTACCATCACCTAGGTACATTTTGGTGTTGAATTTTCAAATGAACATTATGCCAATTATTAGGATTTAAGTTATTTAACTTAGCACCTCATTTGGCCATTATTAAAATTACAATACATCTTTTTATCTTTCAATCAAACATTTTTTTATTAAAACTAGTGGACGCACGTGCAAT